CATTAACAAGTTGATCACATGATCATGTAACTTTATCAATCGTATTGAGAGAATATACAGGTGTAGAAAACTTAAGAACTGATTATATACTAGGGCACAAAGCAAGTCTCACTTAAGTTTGTAACTTACAGATCACTTTTTCTGATGATAATATAATTAGTTTAGAAATTAATAATAATAATGTTAAACCTCTCATTCATTTGAGAATTAAAATGCGCGCATCTGAATAATTTATGGGTCTTGTAGCACATTATAATGGTACAAAAATATTTGCAACTGAACAGTGAAAAAATACCATATGTAAAAATTCGTGAGCCCAGTCATACTTAAAGGGCTCATGAGTTTAGAAAAGAAAAGAAAAATTGGATATTACTAGGTTTAGAATCTAAACCAATAATTTTTTAAAAGGGCAATTTATTCATTTTTTCAGCAAATATTTATAAACTTTGCCTAGTACAGTGTTAGGCACTGGAGATGCCATATAGAGCAACAACAACAAAATGTCCCTGTTTTCACAGACTTGCTTTCTAGTGACTGGAGACAAATAATACATTGAGTAGAGTGTTCATGAATTCTATGAAGAATAAAGAAAGAGAGAATGAGCTGCTCTGTGTAGGATAGTCAGAGAAGTAACACTGGACCTGAAGGAAGTGAGGAAACAAGTCAAGTGGATATTGAAGGAAGAGTGGTACAGGCTGAGAGGTAGGTAGAAAGGGCCTGAGGCAGAAAGATGTTTTGTGGAGCAGAGTAAGTATTGTGGATAAGGGAGATTTGCAGAAGCAGAAAACAGAGCTTTTTCAGTCTGTTTTAATGGTTTTACTCTTAAACACCCAACTACCCTGGAAACTTTCTAGCTTCCTAACGTGTAACACCCACTTACTCTGTACCAGGTGTTGTCCTCTATGCTTTACTTATTCTCGCTAAACCTCACAAGTCTATAACATAGGGACCAATTTCCCCTTTTCAGACTTCAGGCACGAGAGACAAGGTGAGGTTTGATAACAGTCCATGTTCACATTAAGTGTCAGAGCTAGCATCAGAACCCAGGCAGTGTCTTAGAGTATACAGCCTTCCCTCCTCTCCCTCCCCTGACAGGTTGGCAGTGGTTGCAGAATGCTTCCTTGCTGGGAAAGATTTAGTGTGATGGTCCTTAGCCTGATTGAAATAGGGCGGCGCCTTTGTAAGTTTTGAATTTTGAGTTTCCCTGCTCTAGAATGCAGTTAAGAAAACTTAAACATTACCACATATTTTTTTAGTTCCTAGAATATGTATGTTCTGCCTCAGTTCCAGTCTTGTCTTTGCCATTGACTCTGTATGCTTGCGCTAGTTTTTTAACCTTTTAGATATTTCTGCCTTAAAAGGGAGGGATCAGATAAGACAGTATTCGATATTACTGACTTGCTCAATACATTGTCTGAATTTGTACTACCAAAATTAAGGGTTGGTACCAACTTTTTTGTTTATTCATATGGAACCTATTGTTCCAAATGAAAAGAGAAAGTAAAGAAAGTATGAAAAGTATAGATGTTCTCTTTTGCTGGTCTCCTTGTTATTTTAAATACTCAAAAAATTTATACCAGGCTACTTAGCTTTTACAGTCCTAAAGTGTGTATAGATTGTGTGCTCAATTTTAAGGGCTGGTACTATTCCCAGAAGTTCTGTGCTGGTCACAAAGTGGAATGCTCAAGGACTCAGCACTAAAAATAACTTATAAAAGTGCTTCCTTCGTGCACGCATTGGAACAGGTAATTACTGTGGCAACAGCAAGCTAATTTGAAGTGTTAGCTGTTAATTAAAACAATGCAGAGGTGTATAGTTGTCTTTTGGTGTAACCAGAGCCTCCATTCAAACTTCATTAATCACTTTACAGTTAATGTGTTGAGGAAGGTCAAGACAATTGAGATGCAGTATCCACTGAAAGTAAACAAATTCCTTGTCTTTGGGTAGAATGCCATTTGCAAAGTTAAGGGACACCCTGGACTCTTACCTGGCATAGCCTTTGTCTTCCACTTCTTCTTGAAAATTAAATGTTAATTTGGTACTGTCATTGCACTGTAAACCAAGCCACACAGCATTTTTATTGTTCGAAATTGAACCCAAACTTCCACAGATGAATAAACGTGCATCATAATTAAATCATCAAGTCTCCCGTTTTAATTCACTTGGAAATAGGAGACCCTTCTTTTGGATTAGATCGGCTTTCTTGATAAGCTAATTAAGTTGCTAAACTGTCCAGTATGGTATATAGTATGTACTAGATTATTTGCTAATCATTTCCCTATCACTGCTATTAGTCTGATATAGCCAGGTGTTGCTCATTGTTCAATGTAACAACACTGTTTTGAGTCCTTGTGTATGCATTCAATTATTTATCTTTACATTTCAGTTTTTGTAATATAGAGTGTTTTAAATGTTGACATTGGAAGACACCATGATAATTCGAGAGGAAAAATAGTATATCATTATTAAATGTTACGTGTCATATTACCTGTAATAAAGCTGCTAAATTCCTTCAAATCACACTTCCAATTGGCTTAGGCCAGCAACTTCTCTGTCATGCACTGAATAAATAGTGTAAGCTTTTATATATTAATTTATGGCATGAGTTCAGACTTATCATGAATTAAATCATGACATGTAGTTTCATACATTGTAAAAGTCCTATGTTAACATAGTAAAGTAAGTGGTAATTTGTTGTAAAACCAGTATAACACAGGGGTTCCACTTTTGAAAATGTATATCACTTTATACAAAGTATAAAATTTTTTTAAATTATTTGTTTTACAGTTGAATAGTATTTATATATAATAGGGAGATTGGTGTTTAGAAAAAGTCTTTAGACATTTGTATAGATTAAAGTATTCTCTGGTAAAGTGAGCAATTGATGATTTTTATAAGCTTGCCTTTCCTATAGTGAAATAGATCTGAATTTCTGTATAATTAATTGATAAAATAAAGGCTAAGTTTACCTTCCGTAATTGTCTTGACCTTTGTCTACTCAGGAGAAGCAGAATGAATTTTTTATAACAGTCCTATATATGGATTTATATACATATTGATATATGTTTTTTCTTAGTCATACCTGAATTTGTAACATTTTATATGTGAAAAGTTACAAATACTTGAACCATTTCTATAAGTCAGTCACTTTAAAAACACTTGTCAATGACCACACAACTCTGTAAACATACTAAAAATCTTGAATTGTATGTTTAAAACAAGTGAGTTTTATCATATATAATTATACCTCAATAAAGCTGTTAAAAAATTTCAGAGCAACCACATGATTATTTCTGCCAAAACAACAGAAAATGGTGTTTTCATTTTTAATAATGATGGAGTATATGTTTTGTTTTTATTTTATGAAATAAGCAATTTTTGTAGTAATTCTATGTGGTAATAGATGTAAACTAGATTTACTGTGATGATCATTTCACAGTATATACAAATATTGAATCATTATGTTGTACACCTGAAACTAATACTGTATGTCAATTATATCTCAATTAAAACAATAAAAGAAATGAGAAGTGTTTACTGCTAGGTCATTACCCAGTAAAATTTGGGAGCCTGGAAAATGTAGTTTGCAGCTTAGCATTACTGTAAGGATGAGAAATTCCTGAGAAGCTAAATTTCTTTCACCTACATCTTTCCTACCCAGTTACACCTTAATATTAGTTGGATTAAGAGAAGACCAATTTGATCTTGGCTAATATGTAAAATCTTTCGTGGAGCAAGATTTTACTTCTTCCAAATTAGTTTCTTTATACTTATATGAACTTGCCATAAAAAGTACTTGTTTGTGTTATGTGGTTTGTTTTGAAATTTTTATTTAAAGCGTACTGTTTCTGGATAGTGGTCAGAATGTGCAGTCAGTGTGGTACATGGGCACACATTTCATTTCACACATAAAGTCTTGATGAGATGTAATGGTATTTTGTTTCTGCAAACATTATTCCCTTAGTATTTTTCACAAATGAATGTCTTCATATTGCTTGATTTAAATTGTAATTATTTCACTGTATCTGACCAATTGAACTGGTCTCTGAAGTTTTTTAAGAATGTAATTTTATTTATTTTTGGTTGCGCTGGGTCTTTTTGCTGAGTCGGCTCTTCTCTCGTGGTGAGCAGGGGCCACTCTCTAGTTGGAGTGTGTGGGCTTCTCTTTGCAGTGGCTTCTCTTGTTGCAGAGCGTGGGCTCTAGAGTGCGCAGCCTTCAGTAGTTGCAGAACCTGGCTCAGTAGTCACGGCTCCCAGGCTCTGGGGCACAGGCTCAATAGTTGGGGCACAAGGTTTCAGTTGCTTCATGGCACGTGAGATCTTCTTAGATCAGGGATCGAACCCATGTCTCCTGCATTGGCAGGCAGATTCTTTACCACTGAGCCACCAGGGAAGCCTTGTTCTGTAGTTTTCTGAAAAATACTGAGAGTTGCTAGCTTTAGGAAAAAGATAACTGTCATACTTGATCCTTGTAACTCTGTGACTTCTTATATGAATTTATATCTTAAGTCATGTGTTTTGAGATTATTTTAATGAAATGTAGGGATGCAGTTTATCTGTGTATATAATTGAGATAAACAAAAGGGAAACCTTCCATTTTATGTGGCTCTGTACCATGCTTAGCAGAGAACACACTGCCACGTACCGTGACAGTATGTTGTAAGGGATCTGGAGCCAGAGGACTTGGGTTTGATGTCTAGTTCTGCCTTTTATTAACTTGTGCCATTGATAAACTGCTTAGCTGCTCTATGCTTCAGAGTTCTGGGCTCTAAAAAGTGGATAATAATACCAGAATTAACTCGGAGTTATTTTAAGGTAGTACATAATGAATCACTGTGTAAACCATGAACCTCAATAGAAATGTAAATTACCACTGTTATTAGTGTTCTCTAAAAGTATCATATTTCTCTTACTGAGGATGTATTCATATTTATATTATGTCCTTAGCCATTTTGAAGGTTGTTTAGTAATCCCAAGTGATTTTCTTTTTCTTTCCATAGAGCATATCATGTCCCAAGTGGGAAAATACTAGCTGTAAAGGTAAGTGCTAAATAAGTTTTATGAATTTCATGAATTTTTTGATGCTTACTGCATCTCTCCCACCATGACCCCTGTTAGCTTGAATCATAGGTATTGTCAAAAAGGAAATGAAGTGGTTTAAGGTTTGGGTGGTGGCTGGTGGAAGCTCTGGCCCTGTTGTGACCTTCAGGATCCTCGCACTGTGATTCGACTCCTCATCGCCTATAGTTCTTTCCATGTTCTCTGCTCACTGCACCACTGTCTTACTCATCTTACAGTTCAAAAACTTCATAGATGTTCACTTCTTTCTTTCTTTCATCTGCCACATCCCGTAAGTCACCTTGTCCTGTCAGAAATTTCCCCTGAAATGGGTCCGTGTGTCGCTTTCTTTCTGTTCTCATCCTCGTTGCCTTTGCCTTGTATCAGGCTCACATATGTCGTACTTAGACTTTTATAGGAACTTCTTCACTGTACCTTTCACCCGGCCACTGGAGTTGAGAAGTTGAACCCCAGACCTGATGCATCACTATCTTGGCATGCCTCTTCCCTCAGCCCCAATAGTGTACAACATAAAGCCTGTGATGTCTGCCTCCCTTCTTTACAGCATTCTGAGAGGCCCTAACACCACACCATCGAATAGAGTCAAGCCGCCCGTAACTCAGGGGCGTTCTAGGCCGTTACCTTAGATGCTCCTCGCTTGTTGCCCTTGTGTTCATAATCCACACTCCATCCCTGCCGTACTCCCAAGATCCCAGTTATGCCCATGCTACTTTGTGTTTAATTTCTGGCCTTGGCTGTTGGTGCCTGATTTTCCCATCATTTTATCTCAGATTTCCGTATGGAGTCTCTGAATTGCACCTCTGACTGAACCCTCTACTACCTCAAATTTAAGTTCATAGAACTCCACTTGCAAACTGGGCTTTTAGCTAACAGACTGGTGAGGCCAGCTTCATCCCTCACTCCCCTGATTAGTTAGGCACTCTACAGACAGACTCCTACACACCTTCCAGCTGCATCCTCTGCTTTACCTGCCTGTTGCTCTCTGGAATGCCCGTTATCCTCAGTCTCTTAGTAATGAGAGCTTTTTATTTTTTGAATGACTACTATATGCCTGGTATAATGCTAGATTCTATGTAGCTCTTATCTTTAATTTTTAAATCTATAAAGTAAGCCTGTTATTTTAGATTTGAGGATACTGAGAAAGCTGAACTGTCCAAGGTCACCCAGATGGAAGAGCCAAGACCAAGATTTAAAACAAAATGCATCAATTCAAAGCACATGTCTTCTCCTACACCATGCAGCCTGGATACATGTTATTAGCACTGCCCATCCTTTTGACTTTTATCGATCCTTTCAAGGTCCATCTCCTCCAAGATGCCTTCTTAGCTGTCCACAGTGAGCATATAGATATATTTCTGCGTCTTTTATCTAACCTAGGAAACTAAGAATAAGAGTGCTTAAACTGCAGTATGTTGTATCTTTTAGTAAAGTCAGATCAAAACGGACTCCTGATTGCTGTGCAATCCAGAATTGTTCTTCCATGCCACACTTAATACAGCACTGAAGATATGTTATATGTATTATCAAGCCTAGTTTTAATAATTTAAGTAGCTTTTGGTAGGTTGCTCCAACAGAGCTCCTTCTTGGGACGTTTACTTTGATATTCCAGCCAAACTAGGTTCACAGAATTGTAGAACTGAAAGAGACCTTAGAGGTCGTCTGTCGTGGCCCCACCTTTTAAAAAGGAGGAACCTTGAGTCCTGCCAGTTCCCAGGGTAAGTACTCCAGAGCTCAGGCTCCACCTCAGCCTCCATAGTTCACTTGAGTACACCTCTGTGGTTCCAGCTTAGCATTAGTTGTCCTTTCTGTGCCTTCTGGCTCCATCTTCACTCAAAGAGCACCTCCACCAACTCAGCACTGTTTTTCTTTTTGTCTAGTTATTTGTTTATTCCTTTGATGTCAAAACTTCTAGACTGTTGACAATGATGTTTTAAAGATAATCAACTTCAGTTTGTTTATTCCAGGAGAGCGGAGCACTGCTACAAATCACCCCCAAAACATCACTATTTGGCCTTGCAACTGTATTATAATTTTTCATAATTTCATACATTTTCAATTATGTTTAACCTAGGCTGATACTAAAATTCTTCTGCATAATTATTTAGTTGCATGTGGCAAGGGGCCAACAGTTGTCTCTGGAAAGGATTAAAAGCAATTTAAAAGAAAAGACACATTTTTAAAAGGCTGTTAAAATAGAGACCTTCAATAAAGGAAAACAGTAGGGCTTTACAAATATGCTGTTCGCTACACCTAACCGTAAAACTGAGCTACAGGACAGGGACTGTATCATATTCACTTTGTATCCCTTGATTTTATGAAATTAAATGTTAGAAGCTCAAGTTGAATGAATGAATGATTTGAGTAGGTATAATTATTGTGTTTAAACTTTTGTTTAGCCCTGAGCTTCTTGGCAGTGAAGGCAAAAAGCATTTTGTCTGTATATTAGTTGTTGTTCAGTCACTCAGTCATATCTGACTCTGCAGCCCCATGGATGGCAGCATGCCAGGCTTCCCTGTCCTTCACCATCTCCCAGAGTTTGCTCAAACTCATGTCCATTGAGTCAGTGATGCCATCCAACCATCTTATCCTCTGTCACCCACTTCTCCTCCTGCCTTCAATCTTTCCTAACATCAGAGTCTTTTCCAGGGGGTTGACTCTTCACATCAGGTGGCCAAAGTATTGGAGCTTCAGCTTTAGCGTCAGTCCTTCCAATGAATATTCAGGGTTGATTTCCTTTAGGACTGACTGGTTTGATCTCCAGACAATCCTAAAGGACTAATCATAATCTAAGAGAAAAAAAAAAAAGTGTCATTATTTGCTTTAAAACAGGCTGAGTTTTTTCATTAAATTTAGGAGTGTTATTTAGTTTCCAAATATTTGGGGATTTTCCAGATATCTTTCTGTTACTAATTTCTAACTTAAATCCATATGGTCAGGTAACATACTTCATATAATTGGAATTATTTTAAGTTTATTGATATTTATTTTTTGGCCCAGCATGTGAATTTTCTTCATGAGGGTTCCCTTTGCACATGAAAAGAATGTGTAGTCTGATGTACAGGATGTGGGATAAATATCAATTAGGTTAAGTTGTCTGATAATGCTTTTCCAAATTTCTGTGTCTTTACTGACTTTTTATCTATTTGTCCTATCAATAAGAAAACAGGGTGTTGAAATCTATAACAATAATTGTATACTTGTCTATTTTTTCCTTGCAGTTCTATCATTTTTTTTACTTCATATTTTTTGTAGATCTGTTAGGCTACTTAGGATTTTATGGCCCCTTTATCATTACAAAGTGATCTTCTTTATCCATGGTAGTATTCTTTACTCTGAAATGTATATTGTCTGATACTAATATAGCTACATCAACTTTGATTTTGACTAGTGTTCACATGATATAGTCTTTTACTTTTAACCTGTTGTATCTTTATATTTGGGATGGATTTCTTATAGGCAGCATATAGCTGGGTCTTGTATTTTAATCCAGTCGGATTATCTTTGCTTTTTAATTGAGTCAGTGATGCCGTCCAGCCATCTCATCCTCTGTCGTCCCCTTCTCCCATCTTCAATCTTTCCCAGCATCAGGGTCTTTTCAAATGAGTCAGCTCTTCACCAGAGTTGAGCTTCAACATCAGTCCTTCCAATGAACACTCAAGACTGATCTCCTTTAGGATGGACTGATTGGATCTCCTTGCAGTCCAAGGGACTCTCAAGAGTCTTCTCCAACACCACAGTTCAAAAGTATCAATTCTTTGGTGCTCAGCTTTCTTTATAGTCCAACTCTCACATCCATACATGACCACTGGGCCTTGACCAGATGGACCTTGTTGGCAAAGTAATGTCTCTGCTTTTTAATATGCTATCTAGGTTGGTCATAGCTTTCCTTCCAAGGAGTAAGCGTCTTTTAATTTCATGGCTGCAGTCACCATCTGCAGTGATTTTGGAGCCCAAAAAAATAAAGTCTGACACTGTTTCCTCATCTGTTTCCCATGAAGTGATGGGACCAGATGCCATGATCTTAGTTTTCTGAATGTTGAGCTTTAAGCCAACTTTTTCACTGTCCTCTTCCACTTTCAACAAGAGGCCCTTTAGTTCTTCATTTTCTGCCATAAGGTTGGTGTCATCTGCGTATCTGAGGTTATTGGTATTTTTCCCAGCAATCTTGATTCCAGCTTGTGCTTCATCCAGCCCAGCGTTTCTCATGATGTACTCTGCATAGAAGTTAAATAAGCAGGGTGACAGTATATAGCCTTGGTGTACTCCTTTCCTGATTTGGAACCAGTCTGTTGTTCCATGTCCAGTTCTAACTGTTGCTTCCTGACCTACATACAGGTTTCTCAAGAGACAGGTCAGGTGGTCTGGTATTCCCATCTCTTTCAAAATTTTCCAGTGGTTAGTCTAGAGCTAACTTTCCCCAGTCAACTGAAGCAGTAGTCTTCTGAATACTCTATCCCAATGCCTTGGCAAATATAGGTTTTTCATCCTGCCTTGTGGGAACAGAAACTCTGCCTAGTGTGAGGTCTGGAGATTATTTCTTCTGGTTCTTTCTTGAGGTCCTTGCCTCACATAGTTTCCTGACATCCATGTGCTAATCATTATTCAGCTAAAGACTCCAGGTGTCCTCTGCAGCTTTCTGTAGCTGTCTCCTTTTGCTCTTTTGCCAGTGAATTCTAGCTGCCTTGGCCTCCTCAGAACTCCCAGTTCTCTCAGCTTGGGGAGGTGGTTGAGTTCCCCTAGACTCCACTCCCTGCCTGGGTCCTAAAAACTCTTGTCTAGTCACTAAGCTGTCATAGGACTCATCTCATTGGTTTTCCATCTCTCAGAGATCACTGTCCTATTTTAGTTGAGGTCTAATTTCTGGAAGCTTGTTGATTTTTTCTGTTTTGTTGTTATTTATTTATTTTTTAGTATCTTTTCTGTTCTTATCACTGTGCTAATCCATGCACTTATTTTTGCGT